GTTATATGCTATGCACATTTGTAAAAAAAGCATATTATAGACTAAGGCAGAAGAAATTTAAAGGGACAAACCTTGTTTTACCTAGGGCTGACTTTGAAAACCCCCATAGTATTGCATCAGGTTTTCAGAGCACAGTTCCAGCATGCTAGGTTAGGCAGCTTGACATCAGGTATTGCCGACAGCATCCTGTGCTAGGTGTTTCCTCAAAACCTTTTTCTGCACAGAATGCTGTGACACTACCAAATCATGGGTTTAGGTGTTAAGTGGAACTGGCTAAATAAAATGCATTGCATCAGTAGTCATTGCTTTTCGCAAGTTTTTAAAAAATAAAGTTAAATTAAATTAAATTAAATGACTTGGTATTTTTGCACATATGTTTTTGTTGTCCGGACATTTGAAATGCTTAAAAATCGTGTGATATATGCATGCTGAGCCAAATAGTCCTATTCTTTTCACTTTAAAACACTTAAAAGACTAAAGGCAGCTCCATTTTTCAGCATATGAAATGCAGAGTAAGTGCATAAGTGCAAATCAAACCCAAGGGTAAGCAGAAGCACTCCTAGACAGAAAATGCTCAAACCATACTATCTCATGGGGATCAACCATAATTTCAGTTTTCTCCATCACCAGAAATTAGGTTTTGTAAGGTCCACATAACCTACAGATATCTTGGAAAGTTAAGTTCTTCAACTTTTTCCTCATGGATCTGGGGAAAACCTGATGCTTCAAGAAGTGTTCTAAGTTATTCTCAATGTTAAATAATTAAGCTTGAAAGAAATCATAGAATATGAGAAAAAATGTGTAATTTTTTTGTCAGTCAAAATGCCTAATGTGTTGTGATACTTTCATAAGGGAATAAATATATATTATATATCTGTTAAGGATTATGTATAGATCTGCATATAGAGAGTCTAATAGCCAAAGGGATAATCTTTTTTGAGTAAACCACTGTTTATCCCCAGAGTGTTTACTAGTGTAGTAGCTTCCTTACTGAATAAATTCTTCAGTAATCAGTAACATTCAGTTTTAGTGAACTTAAATATTCCAGTTGTGAACTTTGATTAACTATGATCTGAAAGTAGAAGAGCTGAAGCATGTGCTGATTTAAGGACCTTTCTTGATCAGTTCTGAGGGAACATGTTTTAATATGTCCCCATAACTAGCATCCTGTTACTCAGTTCTTCCTCTCTTAAAACTTCTCTTTGCAATACCCAGCCAGTTATCCTTCATTCCATAGATGTATAAAATAGTTCTTGTTCTCAAATTCTCACTCTGCTTTTCTCTTTTAAATTTCATTACACTGACTTCAGACTAATTCTCCAGTTTATCAAACAAATTTCAGATTTTAGCTCTGTTCACTGATCTGGTTAAGAATAGCTTTTTGTGAACTATTTTACACACAGTCTCTTTTTTTGTTTTTGTTGTTGAAATCATTTCTGCAAACCAAAACTAAATATAGCGCTGAGTGTTCATATTACTTAACGTGTCCCTCTTTCCCATTGGTGAAATTCTTTGTGCATGGCCGTGTTGGGGTTATATCATATTTTCCCAGTTTGATTATGAGACTCCAATATAAGGCAATATAAAAATCTTTAAAAATCATATTAATATTAATATTAATCATGAATGATCATGAATCAATAGGAATATATTGATTCATAATGAATTACCTTGGAGAATGCTTGGCTAAAATCTATTTGCTTGTGTACAGCATTGATATTGTTAGAAATGTTATCCCCTTTGTCCTGTAAATAGTTTTGGGAAGGAGAGGTGAGGATTCTTTAACAATAAATTATATGGACTTATGTATCCTGTGTCAGGCCTCAGATATGAAGAAACATCTTGCCTGTAATCTTAATAGGACAATAATTCAAAGACAACAGATTTTACTTTCGGACCTTCTTGTCCCTAAATGATTTGTTTACAAGTCAGAGGAATTCACATGCCCTTAGTCTAGGCACGTTTCCTTGTATGTTTGTATGCAAACCTTGAAAAATTTGTCTATATCTGGATGTTCAGTCAAAGATGGGATTTTTGATAATTGGCATTAATATAAGCAAACTTAGCAGCAAAGAAAATAACAAAATGCACAATTGGGTTAATCAGATCTTGTAAAGTATCTCTCCAAGACAGGTTGCAAGGGCTATAATACTAAATGGGAATTTTCTAGAGTCCTTATTTTAAACTGTCACAGAGTGTGACAGTACTGTAACATATCAATGGGTATAAATTGATTGCCTATGCCTGTTCAGTTTACAATGATTGATTTTAACTGAGGAATTCACATAGTGTAAACATTCTTTTTCCTCCTGCAAAACTTATCTATTATATGTAGATAAGAAAGTCAGACCTTTCAGAAAATCTTAGCTCAGAATCAAAGGGAAACACAAACTCGGTCTGCCATGTCCCAGTCATGCTACCGATTAGCCTTCCTCCCTCCTATCCAAACTGATATATTGCCTTGACATACTGACAAACTGAAATTTTCTGATAGGAACGCTATTCCAGGAAAGAAAGAAAAAATCTCAATCTCTTCTGCTTCACTCCTATTCCTGTACAATTAAAACACCATTCCCTTTGTTTACTGTCGAACCTAGTATTTCTTGTGCACTCAATACATTTTTGCAAAAAAGGCAGTTTCTGTTTTAAGATTTTTCCTGGAGGTGTATGAGATCCATTCTCAAAACTTATCAGGATTACTATTTATGCAATATCATATTTAATTATGCTAGAATTCCTCAGAACTCCGGAGAATTCAGTACACGTTAGGTTGATACTCTCAAACTCATGCTGTGACTCATGGGAATGGTCCTGTGCAGGGCTAAGGGTTGGACTTGAAGATCCTTGTGGGTCCCTTCTAATTCAGCATATTCTGTGAATCTGTAAAAGACCTATTATATGTATTGATAAATGTCACCAGTAAAGATGATATGGGATGTTATTTTATAATGTGTTGCAGTTTTAAAACCTTGATATTAATTTGCCATATACTGCATTACCAAATAAAAGGCCAACAGATAATTGTATTTCTTTACTATGAGGAACACTTGAACTAATTAAAAGTAATGCGGCAAATTATCTAAAACCATTTAGTCAAATATACTAGAGAGAGGTCAAACCTAGGGCAGCACTCATTAAATCAAATTGAATTCCATCTTGAAAATGGATTTCAGATAGATTTTTAATTGCAGTATTTTGTCCACAGGGCATTCTATCACAGACTTTTTGTTTGCCAGTAAAATCCTCCAGAATGTCCTCCATCAGGAAAGTGCCAGGTTTCTCTTCATTATAAAATTTTTGTATTATGAAGTATATAAGTATATTCTGAGGCTTTCATTCTTTGCTTATCTTGCTCATAGTTAATATCTCCAGCTGAACACTGAGTGCTTCCCATCTCTGGTTCATTTCATTAAGCACAAAAACAGAAAACAAAACAATAACACTTGTGCACAGAGCCTGCAGCAGAAGGATGAAAGCCCCACTTGAAGGGCCCTGTCACTTTATTGCTCTCTGGCAGCACTGCCTAAACACAGAGAATGCCAAGCTCAACATTTTCTTGTGACTGCCCTGGATAAGCATCCCCATGACCACGAGGATATGCAGCTTTGGGTTTCTACTGTACTTCTAGGTATATGCAGAGCCATCAGTATTTCCCTCTTATATTCTATTAGTTCCATGTGAATCTCAACCCCAGAAAGAAAAAGAAAGGTGAACTATAGTCATTAGGACAACAGAGAAGTTACTGTGTTTTCAATATATTTTGGCTTTTAGATAATGGCAATAACTAAGCTGGTCTATTGGTTTGTGAGTTTTTTGGACAAGACCTTTGCTGAATAATAATTGACAATGAACTTGTTTTTTCTACATAGTGTCAGGAAAGTTTTCTTTCTTAAAACATTTATTATTTATAGTACCTTTCCTTACAATTAGTCCTATTTACAATTCTATTTCAGATATTTTGTTGTGCGTTTGAATTTGTTTCAGATTCATAAATTAAATATTCTGTTCTAGATATGCTATAGTTTTCTTAAAGGCTACAAAGAGACATTAATGACCTGAAGGGGATTATTTGCTCTTCCTCCTTACACAGTACTCTCAGTGGAAATTATCACAACAGAACACTTTTGCATGTCATGTAACCACTCAAAATTACTGAACTTTAAATATGCTTTAAATATGTTTATGAAGGATCCGAAAATCACATACTAATGGTCCCATAAAGCAGCTGATATTAGTAAATTTGGCACAGCGAGAACACAATAAAAAATTAAGGGCAGCCAGTTGTAGGTACTACAGCATAAATACTGTCTGATAACATAGATGAGGACTCTTCCATCTATCTTGGTTGGGTGGAAAGTAGTAATAGAAGAAGCTCCTGCCAGTGTGCAGGTGGTGCATCTCCTCACAGCAACAACAGCGACAGCAGGGAGTTGGGGAACACTTTTATCAACTGTTTTTAGAACTGGGCATGACTTTGGATCTACCAAACCGGTGACATCCAGCTCCACACAGTGCTGATTCAGGCCAATGTGCCAGAAGTTCTCATAATCATGAAGTGACCATGTCATAGGAGCATAGGATACTGGTAAGCAAAAAAAAAAAAAGAAAAAAAAGAAAAAAAAAAAAAAGAAAAAAAAGGTGTTTAAAGTTAAAAAAACCCAAACTAACATTTTACATGAAAAACGCAATAAAAAGGACAAAGTATTTCTTGTTCACTTTAGCCATTCCACGTAAATATCTACACAAGTCGTTTGAATCTGTGAAATTTAAAGGGCCTAAATGTGCTACTTTGTAAATATTTATTTTCTAAGCCAAAATTCAGTTAGGTTAATGGGATTTTTTCTGAGTTAAACTCCTAGTATAACGGATCAAGCCCTTCTATTACTGCTAAATTGTGTCATCAAGTAAACTTGATACCGAGAGTGGCTGTTTTAGATTTATTGTATAATTTTTCTGAAGTACAAAAAATATATATTTAAAACTTGTTATTTACTTGACAGACTTGAATCAAAGGAGCCTTTCCTGTCCGTTGGGTAAGTAGAAATCTGTATATTTTCACGGATATTGATATAATCAATTACCAATTATCATACATTATAATTTATGAGATTATGTTGAGCGTAAACATCCTGTTTCAAAATTATGGCTGTTTACTATACCTAAGCTTTGAATAAGTTATTTTTAGTCAATAAAGTCAGCAGTCATGGAAATTTTCTTTCTCAAAAAAGTACTAAGTATGTTTTGCCTTTATTAACTAAGCAAAAGTTATGCTAAAATACATGTGGGAGTTAAATGCTGTATTAAAAGGTAGCTGATTTATTAATTTATTTTCACTGATCTTTCAGTGAAATATCATCTGTATCACCTGTCAAAACCCATGAAAAAATAATTGATAGTTTCTTTTACAATAAAAAAAAACTGTGATACTTCAGTAACAGAAATAGTCAAATTTATAATATAGAAAAAAATCACATTTTTAACTGAATTACAGATCACTACACTGATTTGCATATTACAGCTATTGTCTTACTAGTGTCATAGCCACTTAAACAGTTATATGTTCTCTATATTAAAATAATTCATCATTCTAAAAAATTATTTTTAAATGTGACATATTGTAAAAAAATATCATTCTTTTTTTAATAAAATGATGCCTTGAGGTCCATCTGGTTTTTTGTTTTTTCTTAATTTTTATAAGCATTATAAGTGATGATGATGATGATAAGTAGTTATATAGCAGAAGTAGATTTAGAAGCAGCAGCCCTTATTCCCTTACCCTTAGCACAGAAGCAACATAGATTTTCAACCCTATCACCCCATTCAATGCTCCTCATATCAATTCTACCCCCTGAATTCCAGTAGAAACATTTAGTCTCTCTTTAAGATAGGCCTGTTCTATTTGGAGAATGCTTGTACCTTGGCCTAAACTGCAAAAGTACAGTCAAGAACTGGGTGAATATATGCCCCCTGTACCCCAAAGAAGATGAAGATTGATGAAGAGGTGGTCTTAGAGACCCCAGCCCCCATTCCCAAGGGACGTGACTGAGGCTGGTCCAGGGCAAAAGCCACAGGGTGGGAAAACCTTGGATTGGACAAGCAGTATCACAAATCGTAACATCTGAGACATGGGGGCACTTGCGTTTTGTAATCTTATGCCTAGGCACAAATTAAAATCCTTTCCTTATCTCACCTTCAAAACTAATTTGCGTTGGAGTTTTTTTTTCTTGAATTTTCTTTTAGTCATCAAAATGTAGACAATATATGTATTAAAGGTAATTATCTGTATATTATTTCTGAGTCTGAAGTTCACTTTTCATGCAGTATTTTACTTTCAGCTTCTTCCTTGAAACTTTCCTAAGTGTACTAACTTCTCCCTCCATGTTTTCCTTCCTTTGTTCATACCATATTCATTGCTATCAAGAACATAAACTTCAGACAAAAGATTCTATGCAAAATATCTTTTTCAGGGTTAGTTCTACCATTTAATTATCAGTGGCTTCCAAATCATTGTACTAACCGCAGATCTAAAAGCCAACTTCAAATTCTGAAGTGTGAACTAAAGTTAACAAGTAAGGAAGTGTGTAAATTATGATTAAAAGAACTCAACAAATCAGCATAAATAGGACTGAGATATGTCTCAGTTTCCATAGCATAAAGTAACTCTGGTTTGTTTGAGAACATTTTGAATTAATTGCTTGGCGTCTCTACTTTCTACCAACTCAAAATTATTGAAAAATCATTTAAACACTGGAGAAATTGGAGGTGGAGGGGAGGGTGTACTGGTCTTGGTTTGCATGCTTTGAAATGTCCAAACTCATTAGCAAATTCAGTCTCTTTATTATTATTAACTTGCATTATTCTACTTTGTAACTTGTTCTATTGAGTTGGTTTTTTGAGACCTCCACTATCATAATGAAGTGATTACCTGAAAATCTCAACTTTAAGATCAAAAAAGAAGTTTTGTGTCATTGTGGTTGAGGAACAAGGTTGAAAATATAAAAATCCAGGAAGCAAATAAAGAAGACAATGGTAGCAATTATTTTAATAATAATTGCTACAAAATAATAAATTCTATATTTGTAGTACTTACCATGATCTCAAGAAATGTGCTGGCAATTTTAGCATATCTGGGGATGTCTGCCTTGGAGGAGGTATTATTTTTGTGTTTTACTTTTTAGCTTCTTTCCATATGAACAGATTGGTGGTCACCATGTAAATCCACGTTACCTCCATATAGTCATTGTCTGTGACTTTATTGCTAAAATTGATTCCTCTTAGGAAGTTTAATCTGAGCAAACAGACTTAGTCTCTTTCCAGAACTTTTCAGAAGTTTTACTGTAATATACTTGAATTATTTTATGCAAGTTCACAATGATAAGGGCAGAAAAAAACCAAAATTAGTCCCTGCCTCTGTGCTACTTTTGCCTTTTACTACTGTATTTCCTCCACCCCAAAAGAGGGCATCAGACAGAGGTTACACCACCATGTTCTGAGGAGGGGCCCACCTCAGTAAAGTCAAAGAGTTGTTCCTCCTAGTCCCACAATAACTGGGGGGTTCTTTTTACAGAGGATGAGCTTTTGTGCCAGGACCTGTATCTGAGGTTTTAACCCAGACAGCTGCAACCACCAGGCTTTTAAAATACAGTAAATGTTTGCAGAAGAAATGCTGACTTAGCCTCAGTTAGCCTAACACGTGGGTACCCTTACTGTCACTTGCAGCCAGAGTTGGTCAAAACACCAATTTGAATTACTTTAGGTTGCCTACAGATGACTGGATCCTGCACACCAGCCTCTCAATCTACCTTCTGCAACACAGATTTGTTCCCACATTTTCATTATACTGCCTGTAGGAGCTAATTAAGCTTTTTCATTTTGCTGTGCCTAAGCACACGACTTGGTGGTGTTTTCCATTGCTAATTCTTTTGGTAGGGAAGGGAACATGAAGTGTAGCAACCTAGGAGCTCAGGACTGACACAGATTATTGAGCTTTGTATGTATGTGCAGGGCTGCAGTCTTCCCATGAGAGATCTCATAAAGGAAAATAGGTCGATAAAATATTGCATTGTTTCCCCACTCTCAGAAAGGAGCCAGAGAGAAGCAGACTGCACCTCTTACTGTTCTAGTTTGTGTATGGAATGCAGGGAGAGAATAGCTACTGTACTCCCTTGGTAAAGGTAATTCCATTTATCCTTCTTTCTATGCAAAGTGCATATCAAAGAAGAAAAATCCACTCTCCTTTACTCCCTGTGCAAGACGGGGGCATAATTTGGCACTGAAGTGATAGTAAACTCCTTAATTAAAACCTCTAATGGTATCATTCAGGAGCAAAAATTCATCAAGTATACAATCTATTCAGATAAGAGTATCTGAATTCAATATTATGATTTTGGCTAGAATGCAAAGTTGAATTTGAGATTGACATTGAGATTGTCTTTCTTTGCCTCTTAGAGGTGAATATAAAATCCTTAGGGAAAACTGAAACATCTCCTAGTGCTGAACGCTGAGTCATGGCCTGTAGGGGCACAGGATGCTCCTCTCCACAGGTGTTATTTCCACACTTTTTGGGGTTTCTGTTCATATTCAACCTGAACAAGACTGAGAGTTTTCTGGACTTTCTATCCTCTTCATGTTATATAGCATTCATGATCATATATAAAAAAGAAACCATGCAAATAGTCAGAGTGCCTTGAAGACTTTAATATGAGAGGTAGCAGTTTTGGTAAAACTTCACCAAAGTGAAGAATACTGACAATGCATTAAATTAACTTCATGCAGAAAAGTTTGAAAGATTCAGATCTAGAAAGACCAGAGAAATCGAAAGGTACAAAAAAATGGATACTGCAAAAAGAACAAGTGCCAGATCATATTTGTTGTGGCAAAGGATGTATAAAATTTTTAGAAAATGTATGTTTAAAATACCAACAGTTTTTAATTATTCACATCAACTCTCCATGTTTAGTCATTTCATAATAATAATGGTGCATAATTACCCCTCAACAAAACAGTTAGTAGTCTCTCTAGATAATTAGACTGGTTATCCAGTTATTAACCATTCACCAGCAATTTTATGGCATCTGATTTATGATAGTTATCTGCATGTAAAAGTTTTTCACTTGATGAATTTCAGCTAATACTGCATGCAGATTTGTAACTGGTCATTAGTCTAAGCCCTAAAATTAAAAGCTCATTTTTTAAGATACAGCCAAAACAACATCTTTTAAGGCCTGTAATAGTATTATATGACCAAGAGAGATCATAGTTAATATGTAACTGTCTTGCATAGTAGAAATTCTTTTAATTATTCTTGTTGGTATCTAATTGTAATTGTATGTAACTTCCATAACAACATTCAATCAACACAGCTTCAACACATGCAGTGGTAGAAAATCCATCATGGCATCCAGTAGATTTGTCAAACTTTTCAAAATATCTGTCCTCTTTTTTAGATGCCATTTAATAATATGTCCCATATTGTTGAATACAGAAGAGACAGGAAGAGAGAGAAAGAAACAGTTGATTTTTTCTGAGGCTAGTGAGAACTTAGATTCACCTATTGTTGGCTACAGAGAATAGGATTACTTCTGCATAAGCAGGCAATAGATGTTAGGTGAGATGGTGTTTGAAAATGCATGTGAGGTGAGATGGTGTTTGAAAATGCATGTGTTATATACATCTGGTTGTCAGCTGAGATTCAATGTATTCTCTGACGTTTTCACTTTTTCATATAAGTGAAATGAATGCATTGTATGCATTTATTTCATGATGAATAATTGCCTGTCATAGGAGAAAGAAGAGAGATAGAAGTAAAATTGGCATTAATTAATACAATTTTTTACATTCTCAGTGAAAAGTCTAGAGATCTGTAGGAACTACTGCTTTCCTCACCAAGGTCTGGTTTCTAGAAAGTATATGATGACAGAAAATACTGAAAAGCCATGTTTTTTCCAAATCACATCCTAGTCACATTACCTTTCAAACATATGTACTTACTTCTACAAGACAGGGCTGGTGAGTTCCAGTTCTTGGAGGCACT